ATATATGAATATATATATATATATATATATGTGTGTGTGTATACCTTTTATATATTTATATAACCGCTAAACATAATTAATGTATGTATTGTCGATATCGATATTTTAACATTAGTATATGTATAGGTTATAATAATCGTGAACAGTTTTGTAAGCAAGAAAGCCATTGTAATAAATAGAAAAATTCATTGAAAATATGGATGAAATGCGAATTACCCTCACAGGAGAGGGAGAAAAAAGTATATAAGTATATAAAGTAAAGTATATTAAAGTTTGGTTGATATATTTAAACTCATACTTATATTATGTAGGTCTATTGATAATACTGATGATATGTTAGTGACTTGATATGTTGATGAATAAAAGTGGTGGTTTACTGCAAAAGACAAAACATTACCCCAAAACTCTTCAGAGTTAATTTTTTACACGTGACATTATTATATACCGTATTCAATACGTTTGCTGCATATCTCTGTAACCACAATATAAACGGATAAATGATAATAACAGAGCTCATGTAACAACATATATATATATTCAATTATTTAATATACATATATTCCTCTTCTTTCCTTCTATAAGACACATTGTTTGTGAGCTTTATTTTATTGTCTTAGTACGAAATGTAGCAAAATGAAATGTTGTATTGTTGCTATATTCTGTAAAATTTGATATGTTGCAGAATAGACATTACTGAATATAAAAAATCATGTGCAACAATTTTCTTTCAAGGGGGTAGCCAGCAATTTAAAGATGGCCGCCATAAAACATTTTATTACCAGTAATTGTACGGTTATGACATTAAAAAATGATAATATATTAAATAACCCTATTCTTTCATATAAGTGACAATACAAATATTTGAAATAATATTTCGCTTCAAGTTTGCAAAATTCAAATTCGAAACTGCCGCCATTTTAATTACTTTAACTATTTTTAGCGTATATTGAATTTATGCAATTAGTGATTTGATTAGGCAACAACTTGCAAACAATATTTTTTTATTATATAAAAAAACTAAAGCAGTGAAAATTACATAGAATTATAGAAATAACCATAGTTTTCACGCAAATTAGCTTAAATATGCAAATTAGAGATGGAGATAGAGTGTTTACTTATCTTGACAACCGCTAGATCTACAGAATTGCTTCCTTATTCAAATTGTTGAAAACATGCATGTATTTATTGCTTCATTGTAATATTTGCTCAAACAGTAACCGAAAATACCGCCTTATGAACATAGACCCTATTTTGCAAGGTTTCATTACCTCAATCACTATTATTCTGAATTCAAAATTATTCGGATAATTTTTTGTTTTCTCAGATTCAGATTCATATTTATTGGTCATTTGGAAACTCGTTACAGACACAATCGTAATACAAAAATAACAAAGTATAAAGAAAATATTAAATTAATACAGACAGAAAGAAGTAAACGTCAATAAATATAGTAAGTAAATGTCTAATTCTGAATGACATTATTAAAGCATAAATTCATGTTGACTCATGAATTGAGTACAATGTAATTGAATATAAATAACGATTAAATACAATTTTAGAATTTTGTAAAAATCACCATAGCCATATGTTTCTGATCCAGCAGGTTTTTTAAATTTTTTTTATTTTGTATTTCCATCTGTCTTCATACTGACGTAATTACTGGCCATGGTGACTTAATTATTGGTCTCAAATTTTCCACAAATTATTCTTCACTCTAATAGAATTAATAGAAAAACCTTTCCTGGAATCGTTTCTACTCACAGGGAGTATACATATGCTGAAATATGATTATGCGCACATACCAAGACAGTTACTGTTGCATTTTAATGAGATAGAGTAGCTTTTTTTCCCCGAATCACTGAAAATGCTCTGCTTTAGCGTATTGTAAACTGGTCAGAAATTTGTGGACGTTTATTTGATGTCATTAGGAATGTTTTAATGTATTTTTTTACCTTTGTAAATGCCGTTTGGTCTTGTCAAGTTGACAAAACAACTAAAAACGACAAAATTTCAGTTATTACTTACTTTAGTTGTCTCTCCACTTCGAAGTCTGTTGAACTCTATTTGGTCTCCTCTGTATAGTTTTGTCCAATCAATCTTTCTATGGCAAGTTGTCACAGTTCTTTCAGGCATTCCTTTTTTCAACATACAATGCATTGGCTGTAAGTGCATTATGAAGTTTTAGTATGTCGTTTTGGGTAGAATCTTCAACAATTGGTGCAGTACTAGTTTTGCAAAAGAAAACAATCGTGACATTGGTTGTGTGTATTGTTAATTCTACATAGAGTAGACCTAGCATCGAAAACTTTATGTCAAAAAGATTTTATTTGCGTGTATCTGTACAGTTTTCTACAGAGATGTTTAGAAACCTGACACCATCAATAGTACCATCATGAGTCCATGTTTTTGGGTAGAGTTAGTGATAGTGTGGTTCTTAGCATTTAGCAAAATGTGACAATTGAGAAAATTGTTTAAGTTGCGACGTTGACGAGTGTGCCTTATATGGGGATCCTGTCTGAATATATTATTGTATAACGTATATTTAGAGTTGAAAAATTTAGTAAAATATTTTGTTTGCATCTTTCTGTACAGATTCCTATTAGGAATGTTGTCTGAAAGTCATCTGAGTCATTTGCATCATTAATTGTTAGGAATCAACTATTTGTCGAACACAGGTTTCTGTTTTGTGAAAAAAGAAAACGTGAAGTTCAATTAATCAGTGATTTAATGCCATTGATAAAATGTAAAAAATTCAAAACCAATGAATTTGACTATTATGCAACATTTTTGAATTACTTGTTAGATCGAAGTCCAGGAACATAGTTTAAGTGACACTTTCACAAAATATCTTGTTACAATGTCAAATAGAAAAATATATCTGAATAATTTGAGACCAAAACTAATTCTCTACAAACAAAGAAAGGTACAGTAATATGTAAGTCCTGCAAAATAAGGCCAGAGGTCAAATGTCACATTTCCAGTCACTCTTGGAGAAAATGTTACATTAAAGCAAATAGAAATGTGCATGTTCTGAACA